TGTTTTGTCCTTCCTGTTACTGTTTTGTCCTTCCTGTTACCCGATTCCTTACTGTTACCAGTATATTTTCCTAGTTTAAATTGCTTTGGCAGAGCACATGTTTCAATAACTTTCTGTAATTGTTTATTCTAATCACAAAAATAATGTACAAGAATGTTTTTTTCAACTTTAGCATATAAACATTCTGCAATAAGGCTTTTCATGAAAAGAAACCCGTAGATTTTGCTTCTGTTTGGTATATGGTAGTTAGATATATTAGAAATGTCAGACATCTCAGCATTCAATGATATTTTTTTTCCTTTTTTAACGATATATAAAAGATTATTTGATGAAAATTTTGAAATAGAGTTTTATGAAAGTAACAGGAAGGACATTAAAGTTTAAATGACTAAGATAAAATGTCAATATTTTTTAAAAGAAATATTTTCTTTTATGCAATGCAGTGGATTTTAGTAGTTTATTACTGTATTATTCAAATAAAGTTGAAAAAATCATAGGAAAACCACTTTCATTTTTCAAAAATATGTCAAATGGACTTTTTTTGAAAATGACCCTGTAAATGTGTACTTAAAATGGCGGGCTTTAGATTTAAGCGGCTTGGTCGCAGACAATGATGCGCTGTTACAACGCACTTTGAAAAATTACGCACTCTGAAAAAATAAAATTTCTTTTCAAAGTGCGTTAATATTGACCATATTAACTCACTTTGAAAAAAATGTGTACGGCTTGGACAATATTCTTGCAAATCCTAGGTATGATAAATAATTGAACCTGTTTGATAACTCTTATGTGATGAGGTCACTTCATAATGTGAAAGTGAGCGATTTTGATTTTTCCATACTTTGAAAATTCTTTCTCTCTTCAATGTTTTACTGTACTCAGTTTTTTTTTTCAGTTTGCATGCATTTTATATGTAAAATAAAATTTATTGACAGTTTTCAATGTCATACCAGTTATGCAAATACATATATTTTGGTGTATCATAGGCATCTGTACTGGGAGGGGGAGGGGGGGTAGTCACACAAATGTTTTGCAAAGACATAATATAGGCATTGAAATTGGGGCTTACCTTGGGGGGGGGGGGGTTATCCACTTTCAATTTGCTACCGATGGCTATGCATTATGTATAAGAAAAAAAAAGAGTTGGGAGGAGAAACCTTCAACTCGTCTTTTCCTTGTTCTTAATGAGGTTAAATGAGTACATGTAAATTTAAAAAGTTTATTGAAAGATATAATTGTTACAAATTGATTCTATTAATTATAAAAATGTAGAATAGTCTAGAATATTTGTTTTATGCATATTTTTTTTAAGTGCGTTAAATTTCCCCATGACAAAAAAATGTTAATGTACAGCTAGTCTTAACGCACTTAGAAAATTTTTTTCAAAGTGTGTTGATTTTGTCCCAATTTTAACGCATTTTGAAAAAAATTTTCAAAGTGCGTAATTTTTAGCTCTACTGGTCAGAGACCAGAAGAGCTTATGCGATAGTAATGCGTCCGTCGTCCGTCCGTCTGTCTGTCCGTCTGTCTGTCTGTCTGTCTGTAAACAATTTTTCAAAATGCTACTCCTCCTACAGTTTTGGTCCGATTTCAATATAACTTGGCACACAAGTAGACTACACTAAGATACATAATTCTGTGCATCAGTTTTTGATTTCGATGAACGGTGTTGCCGTGGTTACTAAAAATAGAAATTTCTGTGAAATTCTTTCAAAATGCTACTACTCCTACAGTTTTGGTCCGATTTCAATATAACTTGGCACACAAGTAGACTACACTTAGATACGTAATTCTGTGCATCGGTTTTTGATTTCAATGAACGGTGTTGCCGTGGTTACTAAAAATAGAAATTTCTGTGAAATTCTTTCAAAATGCTACTCCTCCTACAGTTTTGGTCCGATTTCAATATAACTTGGCACACAAGTAGACTACACTAAGATACATAATTCTGTGCATCGGTTTTTGATTTCGATGAACGGTGTTGCCGTGGTTACTAAAAATAGAAATTTCTGTGAAATTCTTTCAAAATGCTACTCCTCCTACAGTTTTGGTCCGATTTCAATATAACTTGGCACACAAGTAGACTACACTAAGATACATAATTCTTTGCATCGGTTTTTGATTACAATGAACGGTGTTGCCGTGGTTACTAAAAATAGAAATTTCTGTAAAATTCTTTCAAAATGCTACTCCTCCTACAGTTTTGGTCCGATTTCAATATAACTTGGCACACAAGTAGACTATACTAAGATACATAATTCTGTGCATCGGTTTTTATTTTGATGAGTGGCAAGGATCATTTTTCTGTTTAATGCTGTTTTAAAGTTTCAAGTGCCAACTGCTACTTTTCTCTTCCTTTGTTTTAAGTATAAACCAGTAGAGCTACAGTCTCGACAGAGACTTCTGGTTTAAAAGTGCGTTGCTACAATGCGCTGTTTCATGAATACCGCTAAGAAATAATTTATGAGTAGAATATACGGCACAAACATGTGTAGTGCTAATTCATGATTACAACAACTCCATATCCATTTACTGCACTAAATTTTGAATACGCCAAGTTATGTACACGTACAGTATATAAAGAAGTATAATTATCTGTTGAAATTAAATATCATATACCTAGAGAAGAGTATCCATAACCGCTGATGCCTGTGTATTTGATGAGGTTAATTAGGCTCCGAGATCTAGGTTTGTCTCGACTTCAGGGCTGAGATATCTTGGATCTCAAGAGGCTGTTTCTATTTCAAATTTTGTACATTTATTTGTTTAAATGGTTTAAGTTAGGCATTCTTAAATTTGTATTAAAGGTGGACAGGAAAGTAGAAAAGTTTTGTCCACTATATTTGTCTCTCCTGATAATACTTCTATATCCCCTTATATCTCACAGCTTTGTTTATGATTCAATGTATCTCACAGAGTTTACCTTAACAGACCTTTCACCGACATTATGATAGACTTTGGTGCAAGGAAAATCAATTCTGTATGCCCCTGTCACGTTAGGAAATCAATTTATCGTAGATATTTCATATAAGTTGCACCGGTCAATGTATTACTAAATAAAGTAAACACAAACAAAAAGACAATGAAAGAAGAATGTGTACTACACAGTGAGTGCACACAGCAGCAACTAAGTATGAGTAGTCAGGTTAAGAAATGAAAGTTTTGTATGCCTCAGTGCTGATATAGGAGATAGGAATTTGCCTATTTACGACATCCAAGTCTGAGGAAGAAATAATTTTGATTTCTTGTGAAAAAATTTTAAGAGGCTTGGACAGAGATGTTATTAATAAAATCTTTTATTGTCTTTGGTTTAAATACAGTGAAACCTTGTTATCTCAAACATAAGACCCATAAAAAACAGATATCCAAATATTCAAGATATCAGGGGTAAAATACTTAAGAAATAGGTAATAGGGACATCCGTGTTTTACTTGCTGAAGTAACATAGTGTAAGATATAAATAATATCTATCATTGTTACAATTTTAACCCTGGTATCTGCCCTCTGTCCAGTCTCAACCTGCATCCTCCAAGCTTGGGCTGATACAAAATGCTCAGGCACATGCCAATGCCAAGATCAAGAAACTGAAGTGTGCAATTCAGCTTTACAAAATCATGTATTTTTTAGCTCAAAAGATGTCAAGCTCAATGCAACATGTTCTACAGACATATAATTCAGTTGATGGAGTGTATAAAACTCAGAAAATGAAATTGACCAACCATCAGCATTAAAGAATCAATAAATGTCCGTCCTTTTCTCTCTAAATCCTGGAAGTAAACAATGGATTTTTTTATGCCCCTCGATCGAAAGGTCCCGGGGGTATATCGTTTTTGTCCTGTCTGCCTGTCTGTTTGTCTGTCAACTTAAGCTAGCCCATTACTATTGAGTGGGTGGGGCTATGGCTTTTATATTTTACATCTGTATTACTTGTGACAAGACCTTTTTTTGGGTACCATCAAATTTGACCTCTTGACCTTGGAGTTTGACTTGCTTTAAAAAAAAAAATACCACGCTTTAACCTTGGCCATAACTTTTGAACAGTTGGAGCTAGGGATTTCATTCTTCACATGTGTATTCGTGACAAGACTTTTCGGCTTGTATAAATATTTTTGACCTTGACCTATGAGTTTGACCCACTTCTTAAAAACATTAACCTTGAACTGTTGAATGGTAAGGGCTAGGGCTTTCATACTTTACAAATGTAATCCTTGTGAGAAGACTTTTCATTGGATACCAAGAAATTTGACCCTTTGACCTTGAAGTTTGACCTACTTATTAAAAACAGACATTGACAATAACTTTGCAACCTTGACCTACTTTATTAAAATTTTAACCTTGGACTAACTTTTGAACAGTTAGGGTCAGGGTTTTCATCATAACTTCACATATGTAATCCTTGTGACAAGATCTTTCTCTAGAAACCAACAATTTTGACCTTGACCCTGGAGTTTGACCTGCCTTTCCAAAAAATTATCCTTGGTCTTTTAAACAGGTGGTGCTAGTGCTTTCATACTTTAAAATTTTTTTTCTTGTGAGAAGACCTTACTTTGGGTACCAATATATTTAATTTGCATTTAAGAGAAGTTTATCTTCATTATGTTGCCATACGAGGGCATCAGTGTTTCACAAACACATCTTGTTTTTTCACTATATATGCACTAATTACAAATGTGAATACACCGTGCAACTTTTTCAACTTTATTGTACAAGTGTAAAGCAAAACATGTTTAAAGTATAACATCTAATGCTGTATACAAGTAAACATAATATGTTGAATACATGTATACATATATTCAAAGAATGTTCTCCAAAGAAATCAACCAAAGAAAGAAATATGGTGTTTTAAACCATAAAAAAAAATTCCCATTTAATAGGAAAGATGTGCACCATTGACTATTAACTTAAACCCCCTACCCTTCCTTCACATACATCAAACCTGAGTCCTTAACTCTTGTATATGAAATGAATATCCAGATTTAGTCATTTTAAAATGTCAGAGGTGTTTTGTTTTTTTTAGTCAAAGGAACGTTGACACTTTGATGCATGGAAATTTTTACATTTGTTTTGAATCGGAGAGACATCAACAATATGTTAAATGTCTACAGTACTGCATGCAATTATCACTTCAAAAGAAACAAATATTGCATTTACTGGTAATTAAACTTGTTTATGTAGGGAATTTTCCAATTTTAAATTCTTTTCCAGTCAAATATTATTGTAGACGTTAACTGTACCCAAGGACAGTAATGTATAAATAAAACATTTTTAAATTTTCTAGAGCACCACTTGACGTAAAATATAATTATTTACTATTCAAATGCAGTTTTTCCTTGAAACCCTAACCCAAAAAAAGATTCACCACATGTTTAATCATGCATACATAATGTATAATTACATTGTAAGAAGTTTTACACATTTAGATAACAATCCATGACAATGTTGTTTTTGTTTATTTTGCTTCTACACTAGATGGCTGGTAGCACTTAAACTGAATCTGCTTAGGGATTATATCGTGTGACATAGCCACTCTCCATCATGAGGCTGCTTTCCTCTGGTTTAGTGGATTTTCCGGGGATTTCTGCCAGTCTTTCCAGAGCATGTGTTTAAGCTGTGACAGTTTCATGTTGGGGTTCTCCTGCTTTAGGGTGGGGAGGTTGGCATCCTCAAACTTTTTGTAAGCGGCTTTCAGTCTCTTTTCTGGATGCAGATCCACCTCTTCAGGTTTGTCGCTGTAAACACAAAACTTTTTATAAGTACAAATGTACTGAAAACTGTGATGTTCAAGCAGAATGGAATTTCATACTCTACATACAACCTAGTGAGATATCAACTTAAAATATTTATGTTTCAAAATAAGCCTTATTGAAAACAAAATTCTGGTGTCTAACATGGATCATTAAATAACATCGGATTAACAATTCTTATTCCATGTAGACAATGGGCACTTTTTTTCAGTTTTGATCAGCTTTGTAGGTTCAAAGTAAGGAATTGTGCATGGTAAATAATTATCACTTAGGCACAGCCTTATATAAAAGTTTTACACCACTCTTAAACCCTGAATAGAGTATTCAATCTCCTGACATTTCAAACAGAGTCTTCATCACATTACTCTGAAGACATGGATTTCACAGAGTCAACTGAATTTTATTTAAAATATATGCAAAACAAGGTATCTTGGGAATTAGGAATTAATTTTTTGGCTAGTTTTGGCACAGCCAGCCCTAAGGGATAGACTCCTTAAATTTTGCAATGAACAGATTGTTACGAATACATATATCAACTTCACTAAGACTATAGACTTTTAAATAGACATCAACAAAGGTAGATTAGTTAATACTACTAACCTTAAAACAGTCAGACCTTAAAAGAGATACCCTGGTAGACACTAATCACAGTTACAGTAGATTTACCCAATGAAGCATCGTACCTTAAGACTGACAGAGCCTCTGTGACAGATCTGGCCTCGTGACCCTCGATCTGGAGTCGATTTAAATTCTCTTCTATAGGTGGCTCCTCCTCTTCTTTCATCTGCTTTTTAGCAGCTTCTGTAATTTAAAAAAATAAACCATTATGTCCTCTATATTGATTCAAATCTCCTTTATTGGAAGCAAAAGCAAAGAAGAATATTTTCCAGGTTGGGCTATTTATCTAAATAATCACTAAGCTTTATCACACTGAATGAATTCTAATCTAAGGCAAGCTGCTCATTATAAACATAAAATTTACTAAATTTGGTATCCATAATTCATAGTCAACCTGTTATCTTACTGCTCTATCTCCCTGTCAGTGTTTCTTTCTATTTCTGATAGACCTGTAAACTCTATATTCTCTGACCATCTGCTTCCTCTGTCTATTTTTGATGGACCTCTAAACTCTACCTTCTCTGACCTTCTGCTCTCTGTGTCTATTTCTTATAAACCTGTAAACTGTACCTTTTCTAGGCTTCTGATCCCTGTGTCTATTTCTTATAAGACTTGTAAACTCTACCTTCTCTGACATTCTGCTCTGTGTCTATTGCTGATAGACCTGTAAACTCTACCTTGTCTAGCCTTCTGCTCCCTGTGTCTATTTCTGATAGACCTGTAAACTTTACCTTGTCTAGGCTTCTGCTCCCTGTGTCTATTGCTGATAGACCTGTAAACTCTACCTTGTCTGGCCTTCTGCTCCCTGTGTCTATTGCTGATAGACCTGTAAACTCTACCTTGTCTGGCCTTCTGCTCCCTGTGTCTATTGCTGATAGACTTGTAAACTCTACCTTGTCTGGCCTTCTGCTCCCTGTGTCTATTGCTGATAGACCTGTAAACTCTACCTTGTCTGGCCTTCTGCTCCCTGTGTCTATTGCTGATAGACCTGTAAACTCTACCTTGTCTGGCCCTCTGCTCCCTGTGTCTATTGCTGATAGACCTGTAAACTCTACCTTGTCTGGCCTTCTGCTCCCTGTGTCTATTGCTGATAGACCTGTAAACTCTACCTTGTCTGGCATTCTGCTCCCTGTGTCTATTGCTGATAGACCTGTAAACTCTACCTTGTCTGGCCTTCTGCTCCCTGTGTCTGTTTCTGATAGACCTGTAAAGTCTATCTTGACTGACCTTCTGCTCCCTGTGTCTATTTCTGATAGACCTGTAAACTCTACCTTGTCCAACCTTCTGCTCCCTGTGTCTATTTCTGATAGACCTGTAAACTCTATCTTGTCTGGCCTTCTGCTCCCTGTGTCTATTTCTGATAGACCTGAAAACTTTACTTTGTCTGGCCTTTTGCTCTCTGTGTCTATTTCTGATAGGCCTGTAAACTCTACCTTGTCTGACATTCTGCTCCCTGTGTTTACTTTTGATACACCTGAAAACACTACCTTGTCTGGCCCTCTGCTTCCTGTGTCTATTTCTGATAGACCTGTAAACTTTACCTTGTCTGGCCTTTTGCTCTCTGTGTCTATTTCTGATAGGCCTGTAAACTCTACCTTGTCTGGCCTTCTGCTCTCCGTGTCTATTTCTGATAGACCTGTAAACTCTATCTTGACTGACCTTCTGCTCTCTGTGTCTATTTTTGATAGACCTGTAAACTCTACCTTGTCTAACCTTCTGCTCCTTACGTCTATTTTTGATAGACCTGTAAACTATACCTTGACTGACCTTCTGCTCTCTGTGTCTATTTCTGATAGACCTGTAAACTCTGCCAAGTCTAGCCTTCTGCTTCCTGTGTCTATTTCTGATTGACCTGTGAACGTTACCCTGTCTGACCTTCTGCTTCCTGTGTCTATTTCTTATTAGACTTGTAAACTATACCTTGTCTAACCTTCTGCTCCCTGTGTCTATTGCTGATAAACCTGTAAACTTTACCTTGTCTGGCCTCTCCTTCTTGTGTCTATTTCTGATAGACCTGAAAACACTACCTTGTCTAACCTTCTGCAGACCTGTTTACCCATATCAATGTCTCTCAGTATTTTTGATTAGATTTGTCCGTGAGATTTGGCATTTGCCAGTAAGATTTCACATTCAATCAATTTTACATATATAAATGGAGAACAACTGCTTTTCTGAATACTAAAACATGGTTTGATAACATGGTCATGATCGTTTCATAACACAGTGTTTTGGCAAACCGACATAACTGTGTTTAAAATCTTTTTTTAGCTATTAAAAAGCGTGAAACTGAGACAGATCATAACGAAAACTAATTTGAAATAAGTGTATTTCTTATTTCCGTATTTTCATAATAACAAAACGTGAGACGTATTCTGGACTAAAAATCCGTACAAAATACGTCGAAATCGTAAGAGTAAACAGGTCTGCTTCTGATCCCTGTGTCTATTGCTGATAAACCTGTAAACTTTACCTTGTCTGGCCTCTCCTTCTTGTGTCTATTTCTGATAGACCTGTAAACTTTACCTTGTCTGGTCTCTGCTCCCTGTGTCTATTTCTGATAGACCTGTAAACTTTACCTTGTCTGGCCTTCAGCTTCCTCTGTCTATTTTTTATTAGACTTGTAAACGCTACCTTGTCTGGCCTTCTGCTCTGACTCCTTGTGCCTATCTATTTCAGCTCGAGTGACTTTGGTCTGAGGAACTGGACCAGACTTTTTAATGGATGCCATTTCCTCATCATGAAGTTTCTGAAGTTCCTTTTTCCTTTCTAACTGTTCATGTCTTTTCTTCTCCTTTTCACCCTATTAAAAAATTTACTGAACAGAATGAGATAAAAGAATTGTATCTATGTGTCAGAGATGAAATGTCTGAAAGTCTAACACTTAAAATTGCATTAAAAATCTTGAAAATTTAAAAATACATGTAATCTCAACCAGAGTTTTACTGGTATAACATGAGAAAGTCAAATTACCTCAACAATAAATCATATTTTTGTATCATAAATTAAAAGATTTATCAAATATATGACTATAGTTTTGACAATCTCAATTTGTAAAGCAGGTAAAATATACATATGTAAGGGCAGTAGGTGTTGGCACAAAAAAATTCTCACTGCTCAATGGCCTGAGAGCCAAATATAGGTATAAATTCCCATCCCTCCACCAGCAAATTATGTGGTGGTGTCTCCATGTGAGTGAAACATTCTCTAGAGGGACGTTAAACAGCAAACAAACAATTGATAAATTGAGATACTGGTCTGACGTGGTTACCTTCCTTTGCTGTTTTTTCAGTGCATGCTTGTCGTCATCCCGCCAGTATTCATCTTCTATGGCCTGCTGTTTTCTCTCGGCAGCCTCGGCCTGAGCTGACGCCTTTCTGGCTCGGGCCTCAGCTGCCTTGCTGTTCTCTCCCTTGATAAAAAGAAAAAACATTTTAGTCTGAAGTAAACCAGATGGAACAGTGTCTACATGAGAATGATTTTTATTCTTTAAATTTAGAACATATATACAAAGGAATTCATTAAAACATGTACAAGGAAAAATAAAAATACACACAAAATGAAACATTTAATGTTTAAGATCATAAAAATTTTATAAGATGCAAAAGAACAGTTTACTTTTATGTGGACTCTTACATTAATAAACTGGACATCACATGTATATGCATATTAACAGAATACCTTAAACTTCTTTGGCATTTATTCTCTACTTTACACAACCATACACAATATTTCTTGAGCAGATTTCTGAAATGTAAGGTTGTATACGCAATTTACATTTGAAGTTATCAACAGTTACACCTTTAACACAATTAAGACTCTGTTACTAAGCAAACTTATGCAATCGTCTGATAAAAAAAAAATCCCCAAATATTTTAAGATTTAAAGAGTTCTGTTAATCACCAACACATATAATTATTATTAAATGTCATACCAAAAAATGAAGAACTGTACAGAGTACACTATCTTCACTATACAAGAACACATCTTGTTTAAATATATAATGGTTCCTGAATCATACCCGTTTTTATTTTCCCGTTAGTTAAAAATTAACTTGACTGTTGACAGCTCAGTCGCCTTAATTTCACAACCGGAAGTAAAAGATGCCCGATACGTATAAGATTAACTCGACCTCCAAATAAGTCGATGTATTCTGGATATTGTGTTGTATTATATTAAAATAATACGATATTATATTCATCCAATTTGTCCAGGAGGTCTAAAATGTCGAAAACTGGTTAAAAAACTCGCTTCTCACAACTATGCACTCTTAATCTCCTACTGTAACGTATATCATCACCGTTTTAAGATTTTGATACCCCTGTAATCGAAAATTTGAAAGACCATATTATTTTTGCCCTGTCCATCCATCCGTCTGTCTAGCTGTCTGTTTGTCCGCAAAAACTTAAACATTGCCCATAACTTTGGAGTGAGTGGGGTTCCCTCGGGGCTTCTCAGCCGCTTCGATTAAACTTCACCCAACACCAAACTTACCTGAGGAAAACCTTACGGTTGAAAACCTCGGCCTTTAAATTGTGACACTAAGAATTAAATTAGCACTAAATTTGACCTCTTGACCTTGGAGTTAGACCCACTTATACAAAAAATACCACACTTTAACTTTGGCCTTAACTTTTAAGAAGTTTGTGCAAGGGTTACATTCATTATTCAAATGTGTATTCATTGTGACAAGATCTTTCAGTGGGTATAAATTTTGACCTTTTTAACCTTGACCTTCGGGTTTGACCCACTCGACTTGCATGGGGTTAGACTTGCATTTGAGCAACATCACTTGAGATTTTTAAATCTCAACTGCCTAAGATGAACTAAACTAAAACAATCCTGCTTTTATCCAGTTTTTAGGGAAAAAATTATTCCTCTAAACATGCGCACACGCAAACTGCATGGTAAAATCTTCAACCTGATGAAGGAGGCCGAACAGAGGAAGAAGGACTTCAACCCTCGCCAAACGGCATCAGTGTTTCACAAACACATCTTGTTAAGGATGCATTTTTTACTAAATGTCATTTCGAAGAATTGCTTAATTTAGTTACTTAATTTCCATAGGCAGAGAAGGGGAACAAAAATGCATTTCAACTAATCAGTAATAATCCGGAATAATCAGTAGGCAAGTGCCCCCACACCATAGGAACCCTTTACCCTGGCGCCACATTTCACAATTTTGGAAAAGGCACCCTTGGTCATCATTAATGTTTGATTAATACCAATGAGAAGATTTCAACTGAAGGGGGTTCTTGTGTTTGGACAGGGCTATATAAATTATGCAGTGAAAATGCATTACTCTTTGTACTCTTCTCTTCTGCTCCTGGGTATTAAGCAGATGAAGTATCTCTATAGTTATAATGAGCAAGGGTCCTTCTTCCAGAATTGTGGATTTCAAGGCCCCTGGGTCAGTTGTACTGTAGAGAGAGAGAGAGAGGGGCGGGGGGCTCTAATTATATACTGAAAATGTATAAATGCTTCACCTAACCCTGGGGCCATGAAATTCACAATTTTGGAAGAGGCACCCTTTCTCATCACTACCATATACGTATGCACTTGTTTAATATACATGAGCAGAGAAGATTTTCAAATAATAAACCCATTTATCTATTTAATCAATAGAGTCCCGATCTAACACCAGAACCCCCGACCCTTGGGCCACGCTGCTTTTTTGGTTGAATATGTGATTAAACGGTTTGAGAGAAGAAGCAGAAAACGCATGACGCACATGTGACGATAACAGTAGGTCACCTGAGTAAATCAAACCCCAAAACTTTAACCTTGGAATACCAGCTGGTGTTAGGGCTTTCATACTTCACATGTGTATTCCTTTGAATTGGGTATAAATATTTAGGACCTTTTGAACATGTGACCTAGAGTTTGATCCACTTAAAAAAAAACTTTTAGCCTTTGCCATATAACTTTTGAACAGCCATTGTATTAGGACTTTTATATTTCACAGGTGTATTTCTTGTGAAAAGACCTCCCTCTTGATACCAAATAATTTTGGCCTTTTGGCCTTGACCTTGGATTATCAGTAAATAAAGGTTTTGATAAAATCAGTAACATTTTTGATATCAGAATTTGAATTGAAACCTTAATAAAAAAATAATGTATTTTGAAATCAGAAATTCCTAACGATATTTTGACATCAGAAAGGAGTTTTTTGATATCATATATTCGACTTTCATAAAATTATTTTATGATATCACATATTTGATTTTCTGATATAAGAAAATATCACCTCTTTTTTTCGATCAAAAACTCGAAATTTCATCAGAAAATCGCTTTCTGACATGCATCAAAAAATCGTACTGAATTGATTCTCCGTTATTTCCCGATCATGACAAGGAGCACAAGGCAGGTGTGACCGGTCGGCAGGGGATTGCTCACTCCTCCATGGCACCTGATTCCACCTCTGAAGTTTTGGAGGTCCGTGTTTGCCCTGCTTATATTTTGTATTGTTTTATGGATTTTTAAGCTTGAATACTGTTCCATGTGATCGTTGTCTCCATATATTTCATTTCAGAAATTAGAAAATAATTTTCTGATATCAACAAATTATTTTTTAAGATCAGAAATACCTCAAAAAAAATTAAAACAGCGCCTTATAGGTATAGTTTTTCATGCACTGTAACGGTCATGTGCATAGTCACACATCATGTACAGCACATTTCATGTACAGCACACTTTATGTTGTACTTGAAGGAATTGATAAATTAGCACTTTTTTAATTTTTTGTATTTACATTGGGGGGAGGGGGTCGGAATTTTGCGTAGTAAACTAAGCTATTCATGACCCAAATTTCCTCGATTTACCTGCTGAAGTATAAACTGACAAAGAATGTTAGTTTAAAAGTTTAAGAGAGTATTCTTAGGAAGGAAATGATAATTTTAATTTCTGCATTATAATACGTGCAATTGTATAGTCAAATTAAATAAATAAAACTAAACACATGGTTCATGTCCAAATTTACAAACAAGTATTTTTCTGCACACTTAATATTTAAGTAGATGCAAGGAATCTGTCCTTTGTAAAATATATAAATTATATAACTCATCAAACATATATATGACATATATGCATTGTATCTCACAGGTAATTATTCCCTTTATTTCAAAAACGCGTTAATTACTACAATGTTCACTCACCGCGTCGACTTTCAAAAGATGATACATTTTTGTACATACCAATTAAACAGTCCACCCTCTTATTATTAGTATACCTTAATTAATTAGGGTTCAATGCTTAATGAACATTACTCAATAAGCGCCATATATATTACACAGCAAGGAATATTTTGTATTCAGATTAAGAAACATGTCTTTCGCTCTATTCGGACACAGCTTTATCGCCCGAATTTCTAACCATCCGACCCTGGACCTGTCAAACTTTCCAGTCCATTTCTTTGGGTTAAATGGAGGAACCTCGCGACAAGTTCTCCTCCATAACATCACGCAAAAAATGATGCGTTTAAAACCAAAGAAAATCTATATTCAAATCGGAGAAAATGACATCAGCTTCAACAGTGACCCATTTCAAATAGTTAAGGACATCGTCCGACTTGTGAACACATTTCGGGACATTCCGGACATTGACCAGGTGATATTAGGTAGACTGTTTAAGAGATACCGACCCCGGGGGATGTCAGTGGAGGGGTATGAAATCCAGAGGACGATAATTAACTTGTGTCTACAAAAGAGTTTTCAGAATGACGATGTGATAACTTTCCGGAGTTTGAATGGACTAGAGGAATGCAACAGGGAAGATCTTTGTGACGGTGTTCATTTACAGAAAAGGTTACACGGCCGTTACGCGGAAGAAATAAAGAGCATTTTCTTGGATTAAACTTACTAGTAATTATTAAATACCCCGGGTATATTGACTTCAAAAGTGCTCTAGGAAAAGATTATCATGCATAGCCCTAGTGTGTACGTACGTCTGATAAGTTATTGTCTTTTTTTATCCCACGCTCACGACTTGTTTGTTTCGTGATATTGTATAATAACAACGATTGAATATTTAATTTATTTATGAATCAATGTTTAATAATTTGAAAACATTTACAAATATTTCATTCCAAAGTTTTCTGTGTTTCATGCAATGAATTGTGAAACTATAAAAAATCATTTAATGTGTACCCTTTTCCTCTATTTGTTTGAAATAAATGGGCAACAATAATTCATGTTTTTAATATCCTTTCTTGAATGAATCAGTGGGATAAGAAATAAAATTTCCCAGTTTTTCTTAAAGTTTTCCAACCAGTTTAGACTTAAATAGTTACTTTAGATACAAATTATCAATTCAAGCTTATTATCATCCTATTTAGAGCAGCCAGGCATGCGCGGATCTAGAGGGGTGGGGTGGGGGGGGTAGTCACCAGTTCCCCCCCCCCCCCCACGAAATAGGTTGGGCGAGTTTTTTTTTTTTTTTTTTTTTTGCTTGTCAAGAAATTTCTGGGATTAGATTTTTTTTTGACTAGGGTGGACCCCCCTTAAAAAAATTTCTGGATCCGCGCCTGAGCCAGCCCAAACAGTTCAGTAAAAGCGTATTCAAGCATATGACTGATAGATTCAGAGAAACATTTTGAAAAGATTTCCTAACAACTGTAAAATTTATTTTTCAAAAGCAGTTTTTAGACGGGGTCACGTGACCCCGTCTATTAGTTTACTCTCAGAGCCCTCAAAACGGAAGCCGTGGTGATAACACATGAATTAAATCTACGCTATATGAAAGAGTGCAGAAATTGTTTTGATCAAATTATAAACATTCTTTATCAAACTGAAGAAAGTGATATGATTTTTTTTCTAAATCAAATAAATGAAGCATTTTGTAAATGTAGACTCAAAATATTTAAAACTGTAAAACACACCAGTAAACAAAGTAGTCTCCTGCGTAGTATTACGACTGCGTACGCATCATACATTGTTTACTTCGGGAAAATATTTATTCGGACCAGGTGAAATTCGGACAATTCAAAAAGGTTTCTAGACTTAGAAGTTATTGAAATTTTCTACTTGAAGTTAAATGAAAAACGCGAATTTATATTATTCACAGTTTTGTTTTTAGTTTGTTAATTAAAAAAAATTATCAAAACTCGTTTAAAAAATCACATTTGTGAAATCCAGCATGAAAATTTTTTTGACCCCGTTTTTCAGTACTGTCTCAATACTTTGATTATAAACATTATTTACATGTTCAGACTATAGCTGAGGTTTATTGTCGGTTATAGATCCAAGAGGCAATGTTCGGAACACATTCCAGTTTGTCCACTCTAATAGTCTTTTACAATTGTTTATTTTTTAAAGACCAGTGAGCTTTAGACCTGTAGCTTAAACTACATGTACCGTACATGAAATGTGTATTAAAACACCCGACTCGCACTAGATCAGAAGTTTTTGGATGATCATAACAAATAAAACGAAGTTACCGTGTAGTAATTGAAAAAAAAAAGTTGATGATGCAAGCTTTCGGTGTCTTGGTGGATGGGATGTCAAATATTCACATGATATTGTGTCAAATATGAGCGCCCTATTATATCTCATTCAAAAGTAATCACCAACATTTAGTTCATTTTTGAAATTTAAAATGAGGTCAAGCACAAGGGTCAAAGTCAAGGGGTTAAAAATCATAGTAAGCTCGAAAACATCTTGTCACAGGTATTATGTGCATGTAAATTTTGAAAGTCCCATCTCTTCTCAATCAAAAGTTGTAAAGAAAAATAACACTTTTGAAAAGTAAGTGAAGTAAGTGAAGCTTTAAGGTAAAGGTCACAGGTTAAAATACTATCGTTTTACTAACAGCGTGACAGTTTGCTTGATAGGGCGTGCTAAAATTTCTTATGCTGATTATCATTTTACTCCTCGACTGGATGTTTGATTTCAATGGAATCAATAATACTTTGCATATGAAATACAGAACCCAGCAATACCACTGACAATACTGACCAATCGCTTGAATAAACAACAATAACACGTGAACGGACAAAGCAAGTTTTACTTCCTATAATGATGATATTGATAGAGCAACGTACATATATAGTACAACAGTTCTAAGCAGAGTCACCGTATACAACGGGTAACGCGGGGGAGTCGCTAAAAAGTATGGGGGAGTCGTTTTCAACGTATGGGGGAGTCGATTTTCACCGCTTCGGAGTCAGAAGTGATGTGGGTCACGTCTTTTTTCGGTATATGTAAGATGTATTTACAAAAAACAACTAGCCTACGAAAGGTAGCAATAGTTAAGCTTTCTGTTGGTCATTTGTCCGGCTAGCATATACGTCTTGTTTTCTCAAACACTTTGAAACTATTCGACAGACCTCATATTTACGTCGATCGAGTGGCTAAAACATGCATAGTTTGCACAATCTGCGACTTGTTTAGGGATTATAACAGATAAAACAGCAAAAGCAAACGTTAATCTTTCAAATGCAACAATTGAAATTGGCTAGACTTTATAAAAATTAATAAACAAGACATTTTCTCTTCAGACAGTAATGGTTACGTAGGGGGGAGTCGTTTCTGGAAAAACACAACGCATAGGGGAGTCGCAAAATTGAACTGTACTATTATTAAATTTTTTTTTCTTTTGCTAAATGCTTCCATACATAACTATTTTGATAACTTTATAATTTTAGTAAAATGCAATATGAATAAAGATCAATATAAGCAATATGTACATGTAAAAATAAAAACATGTAATCATCGTTTCTTATTGTTAAGTGTATGAGTATATACCAGTACTTCATATACATTACTACATGTACATTTGATATGGTTTCTGCACGGATGAGCATGAAGTGGCATATTCCGAAAATTTCAGCATTTTAAATTAAATACCGTTAGGCAATTAATGTCTGTACGTCCGTCCGTCTGTCTGTTACGCTTTGGGGTACCCATCTCTTATCCGCAACTCCCCCTACCACTGAGTGAAACTTAATGAAACTTTCACAGAAACTTTACTACATATTGCCATTGTGCATTGTGGCGGATTTAAGGGGGCGCACCCGGCGTGTCAAAATAAAATTATCAAAGTTAGCGTAAATCATAGTTTAGTCTAGTAAATGTAAAAATAGTCTACTCGGTAGACCTCATTTTTACCCTACAAAATCTCTAGAATCCAGGAGCTTCCGGGGGCTTTGCCCCCTGGTCCCCCCTCCCCCGCCTACTTTATTCGCCCCCACCTAACTTTAATTCCTGTATCAGCCCCTGGTGGCCTCCTATTTTACTTTTTGATCCGACACATATTTTGGGTTTCCCGGCCACAGCAAAACATGGACTTTGCCATTATGGCATGGGAGCCGGGGGTATCATTTAGTGAGCTCATTCCTCACAGTACCTCTAGTTTTCTTGGTGAATTTTTATAGCTCTTTCTAAAATTAGAACTTCAGTTGCACTTACCAATAATAACAATTCTGAAATACATTGCACGAAACAGGCACGTATGAAAGGTCTTCCAACGTTTTCATGCAGAATAATAAAATCATAGTTATATTTACAAATGTGTTAATAAATTTTGGTTGAGAAACTCTGTTGTTACATGAATCTTCTTCCAACCCTTTTTTTGCTTGTCAAAATTTTTCAGATAAGTTGTTTATAATTCTTTTTTTCATACTTATGAAAAGTTGTTATTGTAAGAAAAACTATAACTAGAAAAAGGCTTTCTACTGTTTTCCTGAGCAGTCAAATAAATCGCTGCTTGACAGTGGAGTGAGATGTTTGACCTGTCGATGAGCTATGGCACCGCTTACTTCACTGTGTCGGCGAGGTCACTGTCAGAACTTGATGGAATTGACAAAGTTTAAACTGCAGTGCTCGTGAAAAAAAAATTCATCATGATAATATCATAAGAAACAATATAACGATTCATTAATTGATTGTTCTCGGACAAAATGCTTTTTGTCGACCCCTCAAACAAAACTTTTTGCCTTCGGACTAACAACCTCGAGCAAACAGTTTGGTTCTTCGGTCCGAAAAAAAAAACGCATGTCGCCCTCGAACCCTGTCTATGAATATATACATGTAGTTCTCAGTGTAAACCCCAGATAATCCCAAATATTCTCATTTAAGATACATTGTTTGTGCCTGAAGATGTGTTTATATGATAAATGAAAAAAAAAATAAATTATTTATATGTCGACCAAATTGAAAGCATATACCAGTTTAAAAATTTCTACCCCACCCCCAACCCAAGAAAAAAAGAAGCCAGTGGGCGGGAATGACGCACCAGAGATTTCCACTTTTCTAATAAAAAGAATGGTTAATATTATTATGAAGAAATTTTCCATATCATACATCTGGTTGTTCTTTTTTATGGAGAGACTGTCATTGTTGAAAGTGAGGGTTCGTGATCTTTTTGAATTTTTGTAATGTGTAAGAAAATTACATACTGAGCTAGGGAAGGATCTTGTCCCCATGCACTTGTGCTCCGAAGATATATAATCCAATTGTACATGTATTCTTAAACTAAAAACAACACCAGATTAGGTCATACATTTCACTTTATTTTGCGACTTCCCTATGCGTTGTGTTTTTTCCAGAAACGACTCCCCCCTACGTAACCATTACTTTCTGAAGAGAACATGTTTTAATTAATAATTTTTATAAAGTCTAGCCAAATTTCAATTGTTGCATTTGAAAGATTAACGTTTGCTTTTGCTGTTTTAACTGTTATAATCCCTACACAGTCGTAGATTGTGCAAACTATGCATGTTTTTACCACTCGATCAACGTAAATATGAAATCTGTCGAATAGTTTCAAAGTGTTTGAGAAAACAAGACGTATATGCTAGCCGGACAAATGACCAACAGAAAGCTTAACTATTGCTACCTTCCGTGGGCTAGTTGTGTTTTGTAAATACATCTTACATATACCGAAAAAAGACGTGACCCACATCACTTCTGACTCCGAAGCGGTGAAAATCTACTCCCCCATACGTTGAAAACGACTCCCCCTTACTTTTTAGCGACTCCCCCGCGTTACCCGTTGTAGACGGTGAGAGTAGCCTTACTAATTCCATTCTTTAAATTTTCTTATACGTATTTAAAAACCCATCCGGTCAAATCACAACAAATATAATACATGCTTTTTTGAGGACAGAAAACGGGCTTTTACTGACCACGTGTTGCTGCTGACTACAAATGCTGTACTGGTCAACAATCATTCAGTGTGATTGGTCAGTATTATCAGGCTATTGTTGTATTCCGAGTTTCATATGCAAATTAGTATTGATTTCATTGATCCAATCGATGAGCAAAATGATAACCAACACACAAAATTTTAGCACGTCCCATCAAGCAAACTGTCACGCTGTCTGTAAAATGATAATATCATCCAGTACTATTTAGAGAGGTCTTGCCACAGGTAAAACACATTAAAGTCCTATAAAGTAGGTCAGACTTCAAAATCAAGGTCGAGGGGTAAAAAATCATAGTAAACAGGTAATGTATATGATATGCTAATTTCTAATTCAATATGTATGTCAATCTCAAATATTGTTTTTTAAAAGCAGCTTAAACGGTTATTTTTATAACTTTCTGATAAGAGACGGCGTATTCGTGCCATATTGACAATGTAGGAAAAAAATCGTTTGTACGATTTTTAAAATCGTTTGAACAATTTATAAAAACGTTTGAACGATTTAGAAAATCGTTTGTACGTTTTAGAAAATCGTTTGAACTATTTAGAAAATCGTTTGAACTATTTAGAAAATCGTTAGTACGATTTAGAAAATCGTTTGTACGATTTAGAAAAAATCGTTTGAACGATTTAGAAAAAAATCGTTTGAACGATTTTTTAAAACGATTCAGGAAATCGTATGTACAATTTTTAAAATCGTTTGTTCGATTTTTTAAATCGTTTGAAAGATTTAGGAAATCGTTTGTACGATTTGTTAAATCATTCGTACGATTTAGAAAATCGTTTGTACAATTTTTATTTCTTGTTATTACATGTAGAAGAAGCGTAGTAGAAAACCTTGCACAAGTAGGACAACGTATCCACGCTTAGTTTTAAAAAATGACACGATGAACGGCAGAGAAAAACTGATCAAGGGATATTTCAAGATGGGTTTTACTTTTTCGGAAATTGCACAGATCCTTTCGCAAACTCACCGAGTCTTTGTTCGTGAACGAACGTTGAAAAGGACAACAGCTAATAAGTTGGGACTGTTCATACGTAAAAATACAAATCCGACATAGGGGATGTAGCTCTTTTCATCGAGGAAACACTTGAATCATGTGGTGAATTGCATGGATACATGTGGTTGTACTGGAAAGCCATTATGGCAGGATTTACCGTTTCTCAAGAAGATATTCGATGTCTTCTTTCTATACAAGATCCGGAGGAAGTGTGTTTAATGAAAAGAAACAGATTAAGACGAAGATGGTACACTAACAAAGGTCCAAATTACGACAAGTGATCATAAAAACGTTGTGAATGTAATCGTTATATGATGGTTTACTAATTATAACATTACAACAATATTCACACAGATTTATTAACAAGATACAATTTATTATAAGTGTTTCTGTACCTGTTATAGTCAGCAGCGAAGGGAATTCTCTATAGCTTTACCAGGTTTCTTATCCAGTACGCTTCTGTTCCGAATCAGAAAAAAAAAATCGTTCAAACGATTTTTTAAATCGTACAAACGATTTTCTAAATCGTTTGAACGATTTAACAAATCGTACAAACGATTTGCTAAATCGTTTGAACGATTTAGAAAATCGTTTGAACGATTTAACAAATCGTTCGTACGATTTAACAAATCGTTCGTACGAATTAACAAATCGTTCAAACGATTTCACAAATCGTTCAAACGATTTTCTAAATCGTTCAAACGATTTAAAAAATCGTAAAAACGATTTTAAATTTTTTTCTCTACATTGTCAATATGGCACGAATACGCCGTCGTAAATATGGGTCTGTCATCTTTATCATACAATGAAGCGCATTGAAGTGGTAAAATTTTCCGTTAGGATGAAAAGTTCTGAGTCATGTTTTGAACGTCAATTATAACATAATGACACGCCCATATTTTTAGAAACGAGAAAGAAATATTCGTCCTAGTTTTAGGACACCCCATTCTTCGCGACAAGCATCATGAGTTACACTGAAACGGAGCTTTAAAAAAATTAGAAGAGGGAGTTAGAGACTCCCCGCTTCTGTAAAACACAAATTGCAACGAATATGTACATATTTTTGAACTTATCATGTCTATTGTAGTTACCACAACAACGTTAACAATATATGTTTCGGTCGAACACGTGTTTACTCGGTGTTTATTTAGATCTTCAATTTGATTGGCTATTATATTTATGGAAAACCTGTTCTACAGGTATTTGAAGAAACAACTTGACCGTTTTATCCATTTCTAAAGAAATGGGCGTGTCATAAGATGACAATAAACACTCTAAAGATAGCTCAAAACGTTCCATTCGAACGGAAAATTTTACCACTTCAATGCGCTTCATTGTAAATAATAACGAAACGGATTTGTACAAGTTTTAAAAAGTTGTTTCCGAATCTGATATTTGTACGGCTTAATTCTTGAATGTATTTTCTGCTTGTCATTTTCAAATAAAAAAAAAATGGTTTAAACTAAATGAAATGCAGTATTCAAGTCATAGGCAATTGTTTCCGTGTAGTAATTATTATTATACCATGGGTTAAAAATTTATTACCGAATGTGCCCGCGATTCCAGCTCAAAACATGCAAAAGTACATGTGAAATATGAAAGCCCTTCTAATTCAAGCTAATATCTCTAATGACCAAGTTTATATTAAATAGACTAACAGGCAGACAGCTAGACAATCTAACATACGAAGAGACAAATGAAATTTTAAAATGTCCCCTCGCTGTCGCGAAAGTTGGGGAACCTATAGATGGATCGGCCTGTATTTACATCGGGATCGGCTTTTAACGTAAAAAAGAGAAAGTAGCAGGCGCGCGTTGTTCCTCGTTGTTGATGCCTTGGAGGTAAAGTCACGTTAGAAAGACTACAAACAAGCTGGTATAAATATGTCTGAAGTTAACAAATTATCATCTTATCATAAACAATTCCTAAAACATATATTTAGTGCTAGAAAAATAACATTGACTCTATAAACCGTCAATAAAGTTGATGGACACAGTACTTTCACTTTGTCTGAAAATATCGACTACCACCGGCCTTGTTTTGGAAATAATTTTTCTTAGCACATAATATATTGAAACACAAGCCATGAAAAGGTATTTAACTCCGAATTACGAGTTATCAGGGGCTATCAGTGAAACCAAAACAAAATCTAATTGGCCTAATGGACTACAATAATATTTTTGATAATTTCAGAAAGTGGAATGTGAATAAACATTGACGATGGAAGATTTAAGAAGAAGGTTGGAGTTTGACAACGTGGTCATACAGAGACAGGTAAGATATATACCTCAAAACATCAGGGGATCCTCAGTCTGTTTATAGGCAAGAGAAACCAGACAATTGACTGCATTCACTTTTTAATGCCAAACAGTAAATCTGGAAATTTTTAATGTAGATAATTTTTTTTTAAAATTCTTAAACAATGAAATGCTTTCTTTGGTTGTTAATACATTAACTGATGTCACAGCTGTTGCAGAAAAAATTTACAACCCGCATAAGGAGGTTATGCAATTTTTTCTGCAATAGCTGCAATGTTATTTCTGTACTAACAATCAAAAACGGACATTTTATTGTTTATATTTATATTGATATAAATAATCATTAAATGTAGGATTAAAAAGAATAATTTTTAAATAATTGATGTACTCTGTACGTCATAGTATGCTTCATTGATGGAAAAGCCACTGATCAAGAAATCTGTACAGGTGATACATTGTTTGTCAGTGTTCATGAACTGATAAACTGCAACCGTTTTCTTAAGAAATAAAGAGAAAAAATTAAATGGATATAAATACATATGTATTTGAAAATAAACCCACAACAAAATATACTGTAAAAGCACAAATATTCGTGGGGGATTAAATTTCATTTATTTCGTTGTTAACAATTATCAACGAAATTAAATCCCACACGAAATTTTATATGATTATATATTGAATGGGGCTGCTTTCAAAACAACGAAATTTTATCCCCACGAAACTACTTCTGATGTTAAATCAACAAAATTTTATCCCCACGAAAATTTGTGCTTCTACAGTATATGTATATGTATATATATATATATATATATATACATATATATTGAGGTGTCTACTCACTTTCTTTGTTTATCATGATTATGTCACCTTAAGAAATAGCCCTGAGCATCAGAATACTCGAGCATATGCTTTCATCAGAAGAAGAATTAATATAGGACTGTGTGCATATATAACATATTATCTATAATTTTTTTTATAAGTTTGTATTATTTTTGGGAATTAAAGGGTAGGTTGGCTACTTTTGGTCACTTTGAGGGGATACATTCAATGCACAATGAAGTCTACATACAGCAAGGTGTTATAAATAAACGGTGAATACTGGTTAGCTCACCTGAGCCAAAGGCTCAAGTGAGCTTTTCTGATCACTTTTTGTCCGGCGTCCGTCTGTCTAGCTGTCCATCTGTCTGTAAACTTTTCACATTTTCGACTTCTTCTCAAGAACCACTGGGCCAATTTCAACCCAACTTGCCACAAAGCATTCTTGGGTGAAAGGGATTCAAGTTTGTTCAAATGAAGGGCCACACCCTCATTCAAGGGGAGATAATTGGGAATTAATGAAAATTTGGTGGTATGTTTTAAAAATCTTCTTCTCAAGAACCACTAAGCTTGGAGAGATGAAACTTATGGGGAAACATTCTCAGGTAGTGTAGATTCAAGTTTGTTCAAATCATGACCCCCGGGGGTAGGGCAGGGCCACAATGGCCGACCAAAGTTTTACATAGAAATATATAGGAAAATTCTTTAAAAACCTTCTTCTCAAGAATAGCAAAGCCATAATTGATCATATTTATATGTAAGCATCCTCAGGTAGTGTAGATTCAAGTTTGTTCAAATCATGCCCCCCCCCCCCCGGGGTAGGGCGGGGCCACAATGGCCGACCAAAGTTTTACATAGAAAGATGTAGGAAAATTCTTTTAAGATCGTCTTCTCAAGAATTGCAAAGCCAAATTGATCATATTTATATGGAAGCATCCTCAGGTAGTGTAGATTCAAGTTTGTTCAAATCATGACCCCCGGGTGTAGGGCGGGGCCACAATGGCGGACCAAAGTTTTTGCATAGAAATATATAGGAAAATTCTTTTAAAAATCTTCCTCTCAAGAATAGCAAAGCCATAATTGATAATATTTATATAGAAGCATCCTCAGGTAGTGTAGATTCAAGTTTGTTCAAATCATGACCCCCAAAGTAGGGCGGGGCAACAATGGCCAACCAAAGTTTTACATAAAAATATATAGGAAAATTCTTTAAAAATCTTCTTCTCAAGAATAGCAAAGCCAAAATTGATCAGATTTATATGGAAGCATCCTCAGGTAATGTAGATTCAAGTTTGTTCAAATCATGACCTCCTGGGGTAGGACGGAGCCACAATGGCCAACCAAAGTTTTACATAGAAATATGTAGGAAAATTCTTTAAAAATCATCTTCTCAAGAATTGCAAAGGCATGATTGGTCACGTGGCTACTTTTGGATTTAAACTTTTTAGCTCACCTGGGCCGAAGGCTCAAGAGAGCTTTTGTGATCACATTTTGTCCGGCGTCCGTCTGTCCGTCTAGCTGTCCGTCTGTCCGTCTGTCTGTCTGTAAACTTTTTCACATTTCCAACTTCTTCTCAAGAACCGCTGGGCCAATTTCAACCAAACTTGCCACAAAGTATCTTTGGGTGAAGGGGATTCAAGTTTGTTCAAATGAAGGGCCACGCCCTTATTCAAGGGGAGATAATTGGGAATTAATGAAAATTTAGTGGTATATTTTAAAAATCTTCTTCTCAAGAACCACTGTGCCAGGAAAGATGAAACTTATGGGGAAACATCCTCAGGTAGTGTAGATTGAAGTTTGTTCAAATCATGACCCCCCGGGTAAGGGCAGGGCCAAAATGGCCGACCAAGGTTTTACATAGAAATATATAGGAAAATTCTTTAAAAATCTTCTTCTCAAGAATGACAAAGCCATAATTCATCATATTTATATGGAAACATGCTCAGGTAGTGTAGATTCAAGTTTGTTCAAATCATGACCCCTGGGGGTAGGGCGGGGCCAAAATGGCCGACCAAAGTTTTACATAGAAATTATAGGAAAATTCTTTAAAAATCTTCTTCTCAAGAATGACAAAGCCATAATTGATCATATTTATATGGAAGCATGCTCAGGTAGTGTAGATTCAAGTTTGTTCAAATCATGACCCCCGGGGGTACATGTAGGGCGGGGCCAAAATTGCCGACCAAAGTTTTACATAGAAATTATAGGAAAATTCTTTAAAAATCTTCTTCTCAAGAATGACAAAGCCGTAATTGATCATATTTATATGGAAGCATGCTCAGGTAGTGTAGATTCAAATTTGTTCAAATCATGACCCCCGGGGGTAGGGCGGGGCCAAAATTGCCGACCAATGTTTTACATAGAAATATATAGGAAAATTCTTTAAAAATCTTCTTCTCAAGAATGACAAAGCCAAAATTCATCATATTTATATGGAAGCATGTTCAGGTAGTGTAGATTCAATTTTGTTCAAATCATGACCCCCGGGGGTAGAGCGGGGCCAAAATGGCCAACCAAAGTCTTACATAGAAATATATAGGAAAATTCTTTAAAAATCTTCTTCTCAAGAATGACAAAGCCATAATTCATCATATATATATGGAAGCATGCTCAGGTAGTGTAGATTCAAGTTTGTTCAAATCATGACCCCAGGGGGTAGGGCGGGGCCAAAATGGCCGACCAAGGTTTTACATAGAGATATATAGGAAAATTCTTTAAAAATCTTCTCAAGAATGACAAAGCCATAATTGATCTGATTTATATAGAAGCATCCTCAGGTAGTGTAGATTCAAGTTTGTTCAAATCATGACTCCCAAAGTAGGGCGGGGCAACAATGGCCAACCAAAGTTTTACATAAAAATATATAGGAAAATTCTTTAAAAATCTTCTTCTCAAGAATAGCAAAGCCAAAATTGATCAGATTTATATGGAAGCATCCTCAGGTAATGTAGATTCAAGTTTGTTCAAATCATGACCTCCTGGGGTAGGACGGAGCCACAATGGCCAACCAAAGTTTTACATAGAAATATGTAGGAAAATTCTTTAAAAATCATCTTCTCAAGAACTGCAAAGCCATGATTGGTCACGTGGCTACTTTTGGATTTAAACTTTTTAGTTCACCTGGGCCGAAGGCTCAAGAGAGCTTTTGTGATCACATTTTGTCCGGCGTCCGTCTGTCCGTCTAGCTGTCCGTCTGTCCGTCTGTCTGTAAACTTTTCACATTTTCGACTTCTTCTCAAGAACCGCTGGGCCAGTTTCAACCAAACTTGCCACAAAGTATCTTTGGGTGAAGGGGATTCAAGTTTGTTCAAATAAAGGGCCACGCCCTTATTCAAGGCGAGATAATTGGGAATTAATGAAAATTTAGTGGTATATTTTAAAAATCTTCTTCTCAAGAACCACTGTGCCAGGAAAGATGAAACTTATGGGGAAACATCCTCAGGTAGTGTAGATTGAAGTTTGTTCAAATCATGACCCCCCGGGTAAGGGCAGGGCCAAAATGGCCGACCAAGGTTTTACATAGAAATATATAGGAAAATTCTTTAAAAATCTTCTTCTCAAGAATGACAAAGCCATAATTCATCATATTTATATGGAAACATGCTCAGGTAGTGTAGATTCAAGTTTGTTCAAATCATGACCCCTGGGGGTAGGGCGGGGCCAAAATGGCCGACCAAAGTTTTACATAGAAATTATAGGAAAATTCTTTAAAAATCTTCTTCTCAAGAATGACAAAGCCATAATTGATCATATTTATATGGAAGCATGCTCAGGTAGTGTAGATTCAAGTTTGTTCAAATCATGACCCCCGGGGGTACATGTAGGGCGGGGCCAAAATTGCCGACCAAAGTTTTACATAGAAATTATAGGAAAATTCTTTAAAAATCTTCTTCTCAAGAATGACAAAGCCGTAATTGATCATATTTATATGGAAGCATGCTCAGGTAGTGTAGATTCAAATTTGTTCAAATCATGACCCCCGGGGGTAGGGCGGGGCCAAAATTGCTGACCAATGTTTTACATAGAAATATATAGGAAAATTCTTTAAAAATCTTCTTCTCAAGAATGACAAAGCCAAAATTCATCATATTTATATGGAAGCATGTTCAGGTAGTGTAGATTCAAGTTTGTTCAAATCATGACCCCCGGGGGTAGGGCGGGGCCAAAATAGCCGACCAAAGTTTTACATAGAAATATATA